ATTTGATGCAGAGCTGTGTTGAGTTAGGTGCCAAATATGGAAAGTTTGATGTTTCTGACGTTGTTGTGGGAAAATATTAGTAACATTTAATTTTTAATTAATTTTCATGTTATTTTATTACACTTGCAGTGTAATTACTTCACCAGTGTGTTTTATTACACATATGATCTTGTATTTTTGAGTTCTGCTTTTTAAATATCATTTGTAAAAATTTGCCTGTTTGGTAAAATTGCGACTTGTGCAGATGGGTCGTGGGTTGGGTTGGGTCGGGTTGGGTTGAAAAGTTGCATTTTCAGGCGGGTTGGGTTGGGATGGGTTGGGTTGGGTTGGGTCAGTAAAAATGGACCCATGTCCACCTCTGAACATACTCGAGTAAAACGTAACACATCAGGTTGAAATGAAATTCATTTTATTTTATACCACATACCACAAAGGCCTACCTTGTCGACTCAACAACTTTGTTAATTTATTGTTTGTTCGTTCATTCATTAGTTCGTTGATTGGTTGGTTTGTTCGTTCATTCAATCTTTTAATTTCCAACATTTATAGAAATCATCGCATATGAAAACGTGCTAAACGACGCATCACACACAAAGCATTTGATATGCGGATTTTGTCACATTGAAACTCTGTCAGAGTACGAAAAGAAAGCTGGCCATCACGCCGCCCAATTCATATGAAATTCATGTTAAGAATTGAAGATCTAAAGCTGTTTAACATGATCGTACTCGCCCTCTTTTTACGTATTTTTTTTTTTTTATATCAGAACAGGATTTACAAATGTGGATGTCCTTGCTGTCCCTGCAATGTTGAAGTGGATGTCCTTAACTATTTAACAGAAATCTGTTTTTTTCTGGTGGCCCCTAATTTTTTATTTTTTGTGTCAATTTGCTTGTAAATATGTTTGCGACTTTACTATTGCTTTATTGCCAACATTTTTAACGGTTTCTTATTCTAGAACCAGGGTTCATAATAAAGTTACAATATTGTTTTAATGTGAATTTTATTTTTGAAGAGGTTACGGTCAATATTAAATCCGGTCCTAACTTTTATACAACAGCTTAACTATATAATAAAAATGTATGGTTATTAATTACGATACTATAGTTTGGTATCTATTTATCTTAATTTAATTTTTAAAATGCCGGTTCTTTGTTGAATGTGCTGGTATCTTTGTTTGTTAAGCGATAATACGAAAACGTGCTTTAATTTTTGCTTGTGACTGCCCAGTTAGCTAAGAATTCACCGGTTTAGTCACTTACTTGCGAGCGTCGTTATATTTTTCGCTAATCTGCATAATTTTGCGCACGATGAGTGTCATTGAAGATCTCAGAGGAAAAGTTAATTTGGGAGAAAAAGAAGTTACAAATGTGGGTTTTCAATCATTTCATTCCTCTTCTCTTGATTTCACTTTACACACTCTTTAGTTTTTTATTTATTTTGGTTTTTTATTTCAATTTTTCATTTTTTGAAATATATTTTGAAATTAATTATTTTTATAGGTAAATTCGTCGGATTTTCCTGGGGAGTACAGTGGGTTTGATGATGGTTGGAGCCAGTCAAAATTTGAAAAAGTTGGTTAATTTTATTCACTGACTAAATAATTAAAAATAAAATAAAGTAATAGTAAATCAACCAATTAAAAATTTTGATGCTAAAAGCTAGGATGTTTTTCATTTAAAACTAAGCTAGTTGTCATCATTATTTAATTAAATCCTACTGACTTGTTTTATTGATGTGTTTTTATGTCAGTTTTTATTTTTTAATTTTTACTTTTCTGATGTAATGTCTACCAATTTTTAATCAGATAAATACAAATTTCAATTTAAAATTTCCAGGCTTTTAGGATTGATGTAGTAAAGATCGATGATCGAGATATGGAGTTTGACATGGTCGGTATTGATCCAGCACTTGCTAATTCATTTAGAAGAATTTTATTGGAAGAGGTTAGAATTGAAATATAGCACTGCATTGTAATGCACTGCTAATTTTGAAGAAAATGATTTACTTATGTTAGGGTTTTAGAGTCCTATTCTTTAGAATAAAAGTTTTAATTGTTGCTATCTAAAAAATTTGAAGGTGCCAACAATGGCCATAGACAGAATAGAAATAAGGAACAACACCTCGATCGTCAGTGATGAGATATTGGCACATAGGTTAGGGCTTGTTCCCATCAAAGCAGATGCCAGATTATTTGAATACAGGCCTAAAGGTATTTGCTTCAATCATTCTTTTATTATCATTATAAAAGTATTTTAATTGATTGTTTTTTGTCAGAATATTATATTAAATTAGTCGGAATATCAAGTTAAATGTTTCCTGTAAACAATACTAAAAATGTTTTTTAGTTTTTTAAAATCCAATAATAAATTTTTGTGATATCTTTTTCCAGAGTTAACTTTCAATGTAACATTTCTAATTTCAGTCATTTTATTTCTTTGAAACATTTAAAATATAGATAATTTTAATTTTTCCTAATTTTAAAAATTAATTTTTTTCGACAGACAGCACAGAAATGACAGCGACTGACTCCATAGGCTTCAAACTCCAGGTTAAATGTCAAAAAAATTTGAAGGCTTCGAAAGGTACCCTAGATAAAAACGAACTCTACAATCATTTTAAAGGTTTTCATATCTCTGTTTTATAACTATTTAAAATGAGTTTTATTTTTTAAATGTCATTTGTGATTGATAAGTAATATTGGTAATTGATGGTTTTTTGTTTAAATGTTTTTAATAAATTTTAAAATTTTTCATTTAAAGTTACTACGAAGGATTTAATATGGTTTCCAGTTGGTGACCAGACATACACTGTTAGTATCAATTAATCAAGGAATTTTTTTCCTTTTTTTCTTATTTTATAATAGTTAATTTCTTATTTAATATTTTTAATTAACTTGTAATTGTTGTTTTTATATCTTTGTAGTATTACATACAGATCTTTCATATTTACTTCCATTTCTAAATTAAATTTTCAACCAATCTTTCATTCATTTAGGATGAGAATGAAATCCCAAAACCAGCAGATGATGATATCCTGATAGCAAAGTTGAAACCTGGACAAGTATGTACCACACACACATTTTAACACACAGACAACTATTTTAGTTCTATAATAATTTATAATATTAATTTCAAATGTTATATTATATTTAATATATATTTATTCAAATTTAACAATGCTTAGGAAATTGACATTGTATGCTACTGCTTTAAAGGAATTGGAAAGGACCATGCAAAATTCTCTCCTGTTGGTCTGTGTCTGACATATTTTTTTTGTTTTAAGTTATTTCGTTCTATTATTCGTAATTTATATTATTATTATTACATTTTGTTTAGTATTATTCTATATTATCTTGTAATTATGTGTTTTTTTCTTATATTTTTTTAGATTTTGTTTAATTTTAAATATGGATTTTATTTTTAAATTATAGATATTTATGATTGCTTACAACTATTGTTGTTAATATTAAGTTATTATTCAGCCTGTTTACAACTTCAGATAAAATATATAAATCATTATATTAGCATTTTTACTGATAGTTTAAATCAAAGCTAATTTTTGTGATGTTTGTATTTAAAAAAAAAATAACTAAAATATACTCGTCAATAATTAAATCCTTCAAATGTAATTTTGATCAAATTTGTACTTCTATTACAATGAATTTGAAACATTTTCATCAATAATCATAAAATTCTTCAAAGCTAATTTTTATCAAATTTATATTTCAAAATTGAAATTCTCCTTTTTATTATATTATATTATATTTATGTTAAAAAAAAATTTTCCTTCACACACGTACAGCTACAGCCTTTTATAGAAACCTACCGGAAATAAAGTTACTGAGAAAAGTGACGGGCAGAGATGCTGAGTTATTGAAATCGTCATTCTCAGAGGGAGTTATAGAGCTGGTTCCAGATGAAAACGGTTTGTATTATTGCATTGTCTTTTTCTATCTCAATTGTATCTACATTACAATTATTATAGTTTCTGTTGGTGTTATTATTTTTCTTTTCTTTAATATGAAAAAAATTACTTGAAAATTTAGCTATGTAGAGTTTTTTATAGTAAAATTGTCGCTATAGTTTTGATAAAAAATTTTAATTTAAAATAATGTAAAAGTTCACAAAAATGATTTTATTAGACAATGTTCTAAAAAATATTTTACTTTCTTTTCTCACCAGGTGTGATGGAGGCCCGTGTTGTTGATAGTAGGAAAGACATGTTGAGTAGGAATGCATTTAGATACGAAGAGTTGAAAGGAGCCTTTCAAATTAATCTCATCATCAAACATTTCATATGTATGTTGTTGTTGTTGTTGGTTGTGTTTAATGTCCTGCGGGCGAATTTATTGTATGTATGTCTGTTTTTGTCTGTTTATGACGCTGTTTAATTTATTCAATGAAATTGGTTTAGATAGTTTTAAAGTTTCAATCATATTTCCTGACTTTAATTTCCTAAAAGTAATGATTTCAAAATGTCTGTTCAGTCGTTTATTTGTTAATCTTTGATTACTTAGAACTGTTAAATTTCTATTTCCAAACTTCATTCAATTCATAGCTTCAAATATTTTATCCTTGCCACAGTTTCAGTGGAGTCGACTGGCGTCATGCCTCCAGAAGTACTCGTCTCTGAAGCCATCAAAGTTCTCATGAAGAAATGCAAACACTTTTTGAAAGAAATTGATGATATATAACTTTCCTTGTATATTTAATTAAACATTCGTTTGTTAATATTTATCTTATCGTTGACACGTTCTTTTTGTAAATATAACAATTGATCTAACTATAATACGTATGTTTTGATTGCCTCGATGGTTCGTTCGATATACAAAGTACTGTCTTTGTGTTTAAATTTTTTTAAATATGCGTCGAAATCATGGGTACATTTTTTATATATGGTATATTTCTATTGGGAAAATGGTAAAACGTGCAATGAGTGCTATAAAACAAGAAGAGTTTTAAAAAGTGCTTGACTTTCCATAAACTAAATTTTTACGCTAAGACTCATTAAACATTAATCTTAGCTTAAAAACCGCACGAAATCTGAACTAATTGTAATTTAAGAAATAAAAATGAGCGTCAAACTGAAAAATAATATCGTTTCTACATTCAAAATGCACGGACTGACTTTGAAAGGGTTTGTCTAAAAACATCGATTAATTTCATTTGCTTTAAATAAAATTCCATCTTCTCTGCATTCTGCACATAGGTCATCAATGACATTTATTTTATTTTATTCAATCAACATCAGACATTGCTTAATTTTTTTAAATTTAAGTAATATGAATAAACATTTCAAAATAATGAGAAATAATAAATAAATACTAGTCACTGCAATAAATAATGATAAAGTTGCCATTTATTATTTGGCTTTTTGTATTTAATATTTTAATTAATTGATTATTTTTAATATTAATTTAATTTATTTTAATAATTTTCAATTAATTAACTTTTTAACTAATAACTAACCATTAGAGATGCCACAAAATATTTACATGATGTGCTATCAAACATGGGAGCTGATGATCAGAATGAACACCTCGAGAAATTAATTGAGTCCATTCAAAAACTACCCTGTAATTTTAATTAATTAATCATTCAATACTATAATTATTTCTTGTATTATTACATTATTTATATTAATTAATTATCTCATTTTAATTGATTCATCAATTTAAAAATACTTTTTTAGTAGAATCTCCAGTCATTGGCAGAGAGCACTGTGAACTATCCATTGCAGACATTAATCATGAAACCTCTGATGAAAAGTTAGAGTCCTAACCTATTTCATATATTGATTGATTAAATGTTTATATTTATTAATTCTATTATTTCATGTCAATTAATTAGCCACTAATTTATTGAATACGATGTTAATTAATTACAAAGTTATTTCTTTTGCCTCAGCAGCTTAATTATAATGCTAAAATTAGGAATATTATGATTTAATAACCCCATTGTTTGTATAATAATAATAATAATAATAAGGATAATAATAGTGGAATGATAAAAATAATATTTTATAAATTTGATTATAAATATTTATTTTTATTTTTGCAAGCCTGGAAGTGTTTAAAGTGACTGATGTCTTCTCCATTCCACATTTCACTTATAATAATGAGACTAAAAAATTTACCATGTAAGAATGGAATTTACCAGAATGGCAGTTTATTTCGTCTTAATATTTTTTTCAGTTTATTTTATTATAACTGTTAAATTCATTTAAAATTATTGTAATTTTTTTTATTCTTTCTATATAAATAGATTAGTTTATCTGTTTTTAATCAATTTATTTGTGTAAATTGTTTATTCTATATTTTACAAGTTCAAAAGTTGAGAAGTCTCTGGCCCCTGATTCCTCGTGGAAAATCAAGTTATTTCTTGATAGATATAATATCATACATCAAGTTTGTATATATGTGTGTGTGTTTGTATAAATGTCTGTATATATGTGTGTGTGTTTGTATAAATGTTTGCATATATGTGTGTGTGTATGTGTCCTGGTTATGACATTAAACTGACCCTCACTGCCTTGTGAGTGATGTTGGATCATCAAAGGCTAGGCCCACCGCTTTTAACTGTGGTTGCGTAAGGAAGAGCGTCCTGTGTTAAAATTAGCCAATAAAATATTTATGATGACATTCGGTTTCATCATAGGTAGCCAAACGGCAACCCCCGATCTCGGGGAAAATGTGTCTAAACGTGTGTTGTTGTTGTATATATGTGTGTGTGTTTGTATAAATGCTTGTATATATGTGTGTGTGTTTGTATAAATGTCTGTATATATGTGTGTGTTTGTATAAATGTTTGCATAAATGTGTTTGTGTTTGTATAAATGCTTGTATATATGTGTGTGTGTTTGATAAATGTTTATATATATGTGTGTGTGTTTGTATAAATGTCTGTATATATGTGTGTTTGTTTGTATAAATGTTTGCATATATGTGTGTGAGTTTGTATAAATGCTTGCATATATGTGTGTGTGTTTGTATAAATGTTTTTATATGTACATGTTTAAATTTTTGTATAATTAATTATTTACTTGTCAATTTTTAATGTGTGCATTTGTATAAGTTTGTGTATGTGTGTTAAATGTTTGTAAAATATTTTAGAAGTTCACACAATATTGCATAAAATATGGTCTCATTCCAGCATTAATGTGTGTGTGTTTTTTTTTTGTGTTTGTATAATTTTTTTTAGTATACAGGTTTGTATATGTTTGTGTATGTTTGTTTATGCGTGTGTGTGTGTGTGTGTGTGTGTGTGTGTGTGTGTGTGTGTGTGTGTGTGTGTGTTTGTAATTATACTACTTAAACATCTATCAGAGGACAATAAGGCATGACCTGTTTGCACCATCCTATCTTCTGAATGCCAGGGAGGGAGCTAACAAATTCGAAGTTTTTTGAAGTTTTTTATGTTATATTTTATTATTTTCGTAATTTTAAATTATTCATTTCCTTACTTTATTTGTTTTTTCTTCGAAATTATTTTTGCCCATATTTTTAATTTAGTAATTTTTCAAATTTTTCACTATTTTTAATCTTTTAAAAAACATTTCAGACATAATATTTTAAGCAATACAAACGATGATAAAGCAATACATTCATGCATACTTACACACACGTATACAAATACACATACAACACACACACACGCACGCACAAATACATGAATCCATACACAAAATATACACACAGCTAAAGACTTTAGACTACTTACTTGGCAGTACCACAAAGTTAGGGGACGTTATAGTTCTGGGTATGCTTACTCAGTTGAAAGAGGTATTTGGCATTTGTATTCTAGAATTTATATTTGGCTTTTTGTGTTTGTACCTTATTTTAGAATTTGTATGCCAACTTCTGACATGGTATGACCTGTGATAACGTTCATATGATATTAAATGATACATGATTCAATGATATATGATGTCATGTTATGTTATATAATGTAATGTTATATAATGTGATGTAATTTAATCTTATATAATGGGATGTTATTTAATGTTACAAAATGTGATTTGATGTGATGTGATATGTGATGTGATGAACTATCTATACAATATGATACATTTCTTCAGGGTGTATGGTACCTTGAAGACCCAACTGGCGTTGTCAAATTGAACCTTAGCAAAACTATATCCTTTCATAAATTATGATTATTGTAACTATCAATTATTATAATTGTGATATTATTATTATTATTATTATTAGGATAATAATATTATAAATTATTATTTAGTATTTGAAAAATTCCTGAACTGACTCCAACACAACTTCCACACTGGCCTGTTCACTGAAAATTCTTTTGTCCTAGCTGGTGGTTGCTATGACGACGAAATTTTTCACGTGAACGCCCTGGGTTTCCCGCCACCTGAAACGTCTGCAGTTTCGAGGTCGTCTGCTGTCTTTGGTTGTTGTTCTTTTGAAGGGAAAGATGGGCTACTGTTGTTGTTTTCATTGTGATCATCATTGTCGTTGTCGTTGGTTGTGAAACTGTCAATCCTCTTCCCTACGAAGTTTGTCCTCATTTTATTGATATTTCTCCTAAACAGGCAATTTTTAGGTAATATAAATTTGTTTGGAGGCAGTGCTGAGTTGAACTCAAATGAACTGGCGAGATTGAAGCAGCTTGAGATGGAGGATGATAATGCCATGTTCGTCTTCATATCAGATCTCTGGCTCGATGATAACAAGGTTGGTGTAATAATAATAATAATAATTATTATTATTATAATTATTATTTTTATATGATAATGAGTGAATTACTGATGCAGGTGATGCAGAAGCTGAGAACTCTGTTTGATGGGTACTCGCCTACTCCTCCCTCCTGCTTCGTCTTTGCTGGCAACTTTCTATCCAGGGCTTATGGACATGAACATTTGAAAGTTCTCAAAGGTTATCAAGTTAACATATTGACCATTTCAGTCAAATAAATTACAAATTTTTTCAGTTGATTAGCTTTAATTCGTAATTAGCGTTCATATTAGTATTTTTTTCTTCCTTTGTTTGTGAATTTGTTTTGAAAACTTGATTTTAAATATGACGACTTAGATATTTTAGTTTTCGTTTTTCTACAGAGGCCTTTGAAACACTGGCCGATCTGATAGCAGACTTTCCGTCAATAAATGAAACCAGTCGATTCTTATTTATTCCCGGACCTCAAGATCCTGGTCCGTGTCCCATCCTTCCGAGGTATCCGTGTGTGGTGTGTGCCTCTGTCCTTGCGTGATGTGTGCGTGTATTCGTGCGTAACTGCACATGCTTGTGTATATGTACTTATATGTTCTTAAACTTTGTGTTGGTGTAAATTAGTACGTCCGTATTTGTATCTGTAGGTTACATATTTTTGAAAAGCATCTCCAAACTGCCAACTTTTTTCCTTACAGCTGCAGACTTGTTTAATTTATTTTCCTATAGATCACTGACATGTAGAACAGATCCCTTTTAGAATTTTTCAAATCATTGAAAATTGATTTGAATTCTTGTTGTTTTTGGCACATTTATATGATTGAAGAAATGATTCTTGCAGTCGTCAATAAATTTTTTAACAACACTGATTAGACCAGGAATCCCAGCATTCATTCACGAGCCAGTGATGAAGAAGGTATCCAACTGCATCTTCGCCTCCAACCCCTGCCGGTTGCGATACTATTCTCAAGAAATCGTCATATTCAGAGAAGATATCATTGTTAAAATGTGTCGAAATTGTCTACGCTATCCAAACGATAATAACATTCCAAATCACGTTTGTGTTCAGCTAACAATGTATAATATGTAATTTATATGTCAAATATAAAATTATATGGTTTTGGTATCTTATAAATATAACTTTGACTTTTTTTTCCTATAACTACCATTGACGATGATGAGAACAATGATGGCTCTAAGATGACGATAGTGGTGATTGGGATGACGTTTAGAAATTGATTAAAATTTTTAATTTTCAGTTTGTAAAAACGATGGTGTGTCAGAGCCATCTATGTCCACTGCCTCTCCATGTCGAGCCAATTTTCTGGTCCTATGATAATGCCCTCCGACTCTACCCCCTACCCGACCTTATTGTCTGCTGCGACAGATTTGACCCATATACCATCAGCCAATCAGATTGCTGTGTCACTAATCCAGTTAGTTTTTGGAAATTTATTTATTCAAAATTTTAGCTATACTTTGTAAATGTTCTGGTTTACTAATAAAATTAAGAAATGAGGAAATGGATATTTTGTAAAGTTGGAATGTGCACATTTCGTTGATACACAGAAACGTTAAAACATTTTTTCAATGAATTGTTTTGCAGGGTTCTTTCCCAAGAAGTGAATTTTCTTTCAAAGTTTATTGGCCATCCTCCAAAAAAGTTGAGGACAGCAAAATATTTAGTTAAATGAATGCCTGTTGCAATTAAAAAGTGCCCAAGTTTTAGATGATGCATTATTTTAAGAGAGGATTTCGTCTGCATACGTATTATATACATGCGGTTAATTTATGTGTTCTGTAAAATAAATAATCTGCTAATAAATAGTGTAGTTTATTCAATAAAACATTCGGAATATGATTCTTGTGATGTAAAATGACACTATCAAATGCCGATTATATATATTTCTCGCGAAAGGTATGCACAACAATTGAATAAGCTTTTAGATTTAGTTGAATAAAGAGATTTAAAAACCAATTCCATGCTATACACATGATTCTAAGTATGTATATGACATTATTTTTTCGGTTTCAAACAAAGATAAAAAATAGTTCTATAAGTTTAATTAAAAATGACTATGGTTTTTGTTTTCCATGCGTTCACTTTTAAAAGTCAAAAACTTTTCAAAAAATTTTTTACTGACCAAATGTTTTCTTATTTATGGATGAATTAAGAGAAATTGATATTAAGAGATTCCCATTAACTAAAATAAACGATGTCGTTGGTTTATTTGAAGATCAGTTGAAAAGTGATCAGGAACCCAATTTGACACTACTGTCCATTGTACTGGGCACTGTTGAACATTTGTTAACTATCAAAAAACCGCTTGAAAAACGTCAGAGAGGTAGACCCAACGAATTGTTAGCTCTCAGAAATGTCAATCAAATTGATGGCCAGGAGACTAAAAATGGCATCAACGATGATGAAAACATACCAACCATTGAATTAGCAGATGTCAATGTGTTGTTTGAGTTGTTTGTGAAACTCATGAAGGACAATGTTGATTTATCACTTTTTGAACATTCCATGTACACTTCGACTGGACTTCTGAAAAAAGTTTCTGATGTTCTCTGGACAACTCTGAGTAGAACTTTCTATAAAGACAAAGGGCATTTACAGTTTTTAAATACACTTTTCAGTGGTGAGCATTTGTAAATCATTACAATCATTTTATAGATAACCTAGTTAAAATTTAAGAATTGATTAAATTATAAATGAATTTAATAACTAAAAGTATAATAATGCAAAAATCACTTTTCATTGTTTTTGAATATTGGTGTTTTTTATTATTTATCTTCACACACAGAACAGAAGATGGATTGTTTTGGAATGGCCTTTGGAGTGATAGCAGGATGTCAGATTTTGGGACTTAAGGATGTGCACATGGCAGTGACGGAGGACCACGTGTGGGCTGTCCATGGCAAGAATGAGTGTCTCACTTCTGAAATCACATGGCATGGTGTGTTTGTTTGTATGTATATATATATATATATATATTGTATATATTTATGAATGCATTTATATGTGTATGTGTGTGCCTGTATATGTGCTTATTTAAGTACTTGTGTGTTTGCAGAATAATGATTAAAAGAAAATTTTGCAAAAACTGTTTAACCATTTAAAAAATTTTTAAACTTTTGTAATATCAAACTTCTAGTAGTAACCATTTAAATTACTTTATTTAATTAGAAACTATTAACCTAACTTTAAGCAATTGTGAAAAAATTAATCACTGTGATTAGTTTCACCCTAATCCCTAATCGTAAACAGGAAAAGGCACAGAAGATCGTCGGGGCCACCCAGTCAGTAAAACTGCTCCGGAGAAGAGTTGGTTGTATGAACATCCGATGATATGCAACAGGCAGGAAGAGGTGGCCATCTTAGTTGTTGCCATTAACACAATCATCCATGCTACTATGGAAAGCTACCAGATGGCTGCCATACAAAAAGTTTGTATATTTTTGTATACATATGTTGTATGCATAACATATCATATTAACAGATCATTTGTATATTGTGTATTTTGTATCTTTTGAATGTTTAACATTTCATTAATAAAAGTTACATCTTAACTTCTTATAAGGACTATACACATTTTCTGTATAACACTTTTATTATGGATTTTAGCTTCTTTATAGTTTTTTAATTCAATTTTATGATTAACTTCCCATTATAATTTATTTTAATATCATAATTTAAAACAGAGGATATTATGGATCATGCATGACCTAGGGCACCTAAAAAGGTAGAATGAAAAAAAGTTCACTCGAAGAGATTTTAACGGAAAAAATTTTTTTGAAAGAATTTTTATAGCATGGCGAATTGAACAGTAACATTTATCACTTTATTATTATTATTCCTGTGATTATTCTTCTTTTTATTATTATTATTATTACTACTACTTTTATTATTACTATTCCAATTTAGATATCCAATTGCCTTAAGCACGCTTGCTGATCTAGAAGAAATTCAACCATCATACTTCAGCAACAACAACAACAACAATAATAATAATAATAATAATAACAAGATTGTTAACAAAGACAGTAAATTGTGCAATAATAATAATAATAATAATAATAATAATAATATAGTAAATACTTCTGTATTAACTAACGACAACCATGACATAAGCAACAGCATCAAACCACCATTAATAGAAACATCACATACTAGTACTAAAACTGACACAACAGCAAATACTATAGCGTCACATACTTCAAATTCCAACAATACCACAAATACACCAACAACATCATGTACAAATATGCAAAATACCAACAATACAACAGATACAAAAAAAGATCACAAACGCCCGTCATCGTTGCAGTTATACAAACAGGCTATCAACATTTCTATGACCTATTACGATGACTCGAAGATTTACCCGCACACATATCTGGGGAATTATTTTTACAGGAGAAGGAGGTACAAGGATGCTATCAGAAGTTGGGCTGATGCTGCTGCTGTAGCCAGCTGGTTGGTTCACCGATATTGCCGATGATAATGATGGCTGTTTGGCACGTTTATGTTTGCAGTGGTGACGGGTATGTTGAATATCTGAGATGATGATAGAAAGTTTTATTTTTTTTTTGATCTGCCATTCCACTCGATGACATTTATGTTTTTATTATTTGTTAATACTATCAAATTATTATTATTTCATAAATAGAATATTTCTTTTTTCCAGTTTTAACTACAACAGAGAGGATGATGAATTGTACAGAGAATTCCATGAAATTGCAAACGACATCATGCCAAATATAATAAGAACGTGTTGCGCTGTCGTAGAAAACAATAGTAATAATAATAATAATAATTCGAATGCTGCACCATCTGTGCCTTCAAGATCTCATCAGAAGAAGAGTAAGAAAAAATTAAAGCCTAATCAGAAATCTGGCAGCTCTAATGATAAAAATATTGGCGGTGATATTATTAATGCCGATGTAAGTAATAATACTTCTGGCGTTGATACTACTGATACTGCCAACAAGAATAATGCAGGAGGTATAACTGAAAATGTTGATGGTACTACTGATCATTGTAATGATAATAAAGACATCGTTTGTACAACTATTTCATCCACAAATCAACAGAAACAACAACTTTCTGGCAATAGCAGCAACGTCTCAGCAACTAAAACAAATTCTCCAAATAAATTCTCATCAAAGTCATCACCTTCTTTATTGCTGTACGACTCTGATTGCTATGCAGATGTTTTGAGATTTTTTGATGGGATTTGTAAGTGGGAGGAAGGCAGCACCATGCCCGTTCTGCACATCATCTGGGCAAACAACATGGCCTTCATCGTTTCAAAGTTCGTCCCTGAGGCACGCACGAACGTGGAAATCAGGAGTGCTGAAGAGGTTGAAGATGCATCAAAAAATGGAAATAACCTCGCCCTAGATCATATTAATAACAATAATAATGGAGTCGACGTTGGGGGAAACAAAAGGCAGCAAAATGACGCGACGGCCCAGCAGAATGTAAGAAAACGAACGCAGCTGCTTTTAGAGAGCCAGAAAATGGCTTCCATGAAAGATTTATTGACGAATGAGAAGTTGAACACAAGCGCCATAAAATTGCTACTACCGGCTCAGTCACAAATCAATTCTAAGTCCAGCTCATCTCTACATTCTAATAACTCTACTAACAGTCGCCAGAGTAACAGTGATGTCGGTCTGCCTCCAAGGAAGCGGACTAGATTTAGTGACCATTGAATAATTTTTTATGATAAATTTTCGTTTCATAATTGATCGATTGCAAAATAAATCTATTTCATTATTTTTTCGGTCGTGGTAATATAATATCAAATTATGTTAAATTAAATGGAACTTGTGATCGTCGTCTGATTGGTTATTTTATATCAAGCTGGTTGTTTTGACTCTCAATCAATCCACTTCTTTTAATTTCACATCAATAAAATTATGTTTGTGAAGGTCTTGTGCATAGATTTTTTCGAACTCTCATAATAGGGCAAAATAAATTTTCAAAATCAATGAAGGGAGTAATGAAATCATTAAAATATTTTTATACTCCTAAAATTTGATCCGGTCAAAGAAATAAATAACTAAAATAAAACATGCAACGAACGACATTAAGAAATGAGATAATTCATTCTGATGGAGTAAAAATTTAAAAACTTGCAATTTCACTGACTACATCAATTTCGAAACTAAATTTTTATTCAAGACGAGACTACTTGGCCTGTTTCTTCATATTATCTCTGCTTTCTTTCTGTTTCAAGATGTCTTCAGCTGCTTGCCTCTTAGCTTCAATCAGGATTGGATCAGCTCCTCTGCTTTTAAGTTCATCAGCAAGCCGCAGTCCCAACTGCTCTGCTTGGCTTTTCAGACTGCTTGGAACGCCTGGCAAGAGAACGGCTACATATCGCTAGACGTGGGTGATTAATTGTACGAGTGGAGACTGTATGCTATTTGCTATTCAAAGCATTATTCTAATTAAGATAAGTGCACGCGCATGAAAAAAGATGAACCGTATAGTATCGTTAACTCTTAACAGAAATCTGTGGGAGTGTAGTTAAAAAAGTAATTAAAAATAAGAAAACCAACATCTCTATCATGCTTAGATTTACAATAACGACGGTGCTGTTGATGATGAGGACGTTGAACGTGGTCGAAGCTGTCCCCAGCCTCGTAACCTTCAAGAATGAGTGACACTTCACCTTTGACCTGTTCACTCCCATCCAAACTGTACACTGCACCTGCCAGTCTCAACTGGCAATTAAGATAGACAAAAACAGGGTGTCAAAATTTGATAAAACTAAGTCTTAAAGCTACATTTAGATACTACACATTGTCAACATCAGTCATGAAAATAATTTACATTGAGCCACTTTTTCAAGCTGCTACTACTGTTGGCAAAATAATGACAGCAAACCTCGTTTTTCTGGATGGAGCAGTTGACAGCCACTGGAACACTGCAGCCACCCTCCTTCAAAGATATCATCATATCATTTATATAATATTTTTATATAATATTCAGTAAAATCATTGAGACATGAAGTTATCAAAGTTGTAGAAAATGAACACAAAAGGATACTTTGAATCTAGTTCAGGTATGTATTGCTAAATAAAGTGAATATCCGTTTAAAAGTTAAAATAAATTAAGAAAAAATTAAAAGTAATTAGATGGTATGTACAAGCTTCCTCAAGAAAGCTCTCTCTGCAATGCACATAAGTGAAGTTTCGAGGTCGTTCACTAATGCCAAGAGGTCAAGGGTCACAATATCGTCTGCCCTACATTCAACAGCCATTGCTCCCTGGCCCACTGCATACATTAGCTCCTCTGGAGGTATAATCTGTAGTTAGAAATTTGTCAAGTGAAAACCACTTTGAAAAAATCCCCAATCATTGCAATAACGGTAGCAACAGTAAAGCAATAACTATAAAAATAGGCATCATATAAGCTTACAACAAAGCCAGTCATCAATATAAAATAGTTTACAACAGACATATATATATGTACCTGAGTGATCCTGGAGTGCCAGCCAAGCCTCTGAAGACCAGCTGTGGCCAGGATGAGAGAATCAAATACACCATCCTCATCTAGCTTCCTCAAGCGAGTATTCAAGTTGCCTCTCTGAGAATGAAAAAGGTTATTAATGTAGTAGTAGTGTAGTAGTAAAAGATGTAATAATTATGTATTCAAGTTGGTTGTGGCAGTAGTTATGCCATTTATATTTATGCAGTTACTGTATAATTAACTGTTAGCTGATTACTGATTAGCATTTGCTTCAATTTAAATTAAAAAGTAATCATATGTCTATCATTTTTTGAATGTTCATGATGGTTTAAAATTAAAAATGCAGTACAAAAAATATTGAAGTAACTAATAACTAAACAATTAGTTAACCATAACTAACCACATCTAGTATTTTCAAGTTAGGGTAAAGTTTTTTAAGTTGAGCAGTCCTCCTTAACGAACTTGTGCCCACCGTACTAGAATGGTTATGGCGAAGAAAGATGATTAAAATTTACTCAATAGCAAAGAGTAACAATTGAAAAAAATTACAACAACTTAATGATACAAAAAAATTAAGCGATAGCAATACATGTGCCAATAATGTTACCTTCCATTGGAAAGGGTATCGAGACTTGTTGCAGCACACCCCTTTCTTACCACAAGTGCATCTCTAGAGTCATCTCTCCTAATTTCATACATATAAACACACACATATATATATATGTGTGCGTGTGTGTGTGCGCGCGTGTGTGTGTTTACTTATGCATGTGCTTATCTTTTACTGAAATGAACAACAATAGAAGTAACAACAAAAACAACAACTAAACATAGTACTTAAAAAACAATAACTTGATGATGGCCCCGACAGCTAATCCCTCCGGCAGTTCAGTAGGGACATCCTTCAAAGAGTGCACCACAAAGTCTACTTTGTTTTCGATTAGTGCAATCTCTAACTCTTTTGTAAACAGGCTTTTTTCCCCAATCTGTGATTGGTCAGGAAAAATAATTTACTTTAATAAAAAAATTATTATGAAATAATTTTCAATGCTTATGCTGACATTACACACACACACACACACAAACACACAAACAAAACGTAAGATATTATGTGAAATTAAAGTAAGCAAAATACATAAATTAAAGATTGAATAAAATTAACATTTGCGAAGTGAAATAAAACATAAATATAGAAAAATAAAAATTAATATTTACCATTCACTCACCTTCCACAACGCTTTATCTATAATGTTATCACCAGTCGTCGTCATAGACACTGAATTATTAATTTCAATATTTATTTAGTTTATTTTTAGAATTTATTCTGTCATTAAATTTTGAAAAATTAACCGAAAATTATTACGTGAATGAACTTTTTAAAAAAAAGGTGAATGTTGTACATCTAACCAATATCAAATTCGTGCTCTGGAAATTTTTCTGAGAGGAGTTCTATGACTTTTTTCGTCTGTATCAATGCTAGCTTAATTTTTTTGAAATGTAACTGTAACTTATATAATTTAGTTCATTTAAAATTTAAATTTTTAAATATATAAAAACCTTATTCAAGTTACATTTATAATTTCTAAGTTAAATTAGTATTAGGTGAATTAATTATTTTTGATGAAAAAATAAAAATGTTTTTTAATTTTAAGTTTACAATAGTTTTTTAAGCCTAAAAGAAAATCAAGAAACCATACTTTTAGACAGAAAAAATTTTTTCAATTATTATAATATAATTTAATTAATTAATTAAATTTAGACAAAAAAATGCTAACTTGACTGTTCCTTGAGCCAACCCTGAAAATATTTTTGGCTCCACGTTCATGTTGATGTTCTTGATAGTGGAATTTCATGGGAGTGTCGGCAACATCGTGGCCGATCGGCTGGGAAGACATCACTGACGACAGCGTTACTGACACAAGTGTGAACCACAAAAATGAAATTTATTTTAAAACTATAGGCATTCAAAAACATAAGACAAAATCTTAGATCGGTACTGTTTAATCCAAAAAATGGTAAAAAAGAGTTGAAAATAAATTGTAATAAATTTAAAAACTAAAAAGGTAAATTACAATTATCAAACTAAGAACATGTTAAACTTAATATCGCTTAAAAGTTTAAAAGGTGATTTAGATAAAAAGCAGGTGCCCGATCAGGTTGAAAATTATTTTCTGACATAAAGCAAAATATTTCTTATTAAAACAAACTGAATTATCCAAAACATCTCAAAATTAAAAACACTTTTTTCTTTTTATCAATGCCATCACAATTTTAATGACAGTCATTTGCATGTACAGATAGTAGAAGCTATTGAATTTATAACATGATTACTATCAATAATTAGTAACTACTGGCACCACTGCTACTGTAACTAATACTACCGCTAATGATAACAACAGTAATAATATCAATAATAAATTGTAATAATTGCTACAAAATCCAGCTTTTCAAAGGCCTAAGCATATCATTGATATCTCCAGTGTAGGAGGATGTACGTAAAATGGTAATATATACACACTATATGTTTGAAACAATAAACGCAAAAAGACTCTACTCTGAAGCTGCAATTTTTGTTTTGGCAAATGATTTCATTTTCAATAGAACGTAGGTAGTAGTAGTAAATCATGGTTCCTAACTATTATTAAGTTCCGAACTGTCTCACTACTAAATATATTTTAGTGATTTTATTCACTTTGCAAAAAGAATGTAACGGATGTCTGTCAATAAATCAATCATTTAAAAAATTTCTTCAATTTTTATTTGTGAATATGCTATGTTTAGATTTCTTTCAAATTTAAATTTCATAATCAATGAAGAGAATGATCGCGTGATAATAATAATTGACAAAAGCCATTAAAATAATTACACGTAGGTAGTATTTTTAAAATTGGATACCAATTATGT